GGAATGTCTACCAATGGCATGCCCATCATTTTGTGAAAAATTACACTGGTCTCGCAAAACATTTATAAAGTATTTATATAAAGTATAAATAGCAGTCACTTTAGATTAGGGACTGCAAAAATATTTTACTTATGATTAGTAAATGGTTTATTAATGTGGGAGTAATAATTAATAAATGGTGAACACACAATATAAATGTATGCCTTTATAAATGGTTTATAACGGTCCTTTAAAATAAAGTGTTACCCTGCCCACTTAGCTAATTTAGCCTACATATAATTCAATAGAGAAGGAGAGAGAGCGAGAGAGAGACTGCCAGTTCCTTAATGTTTTGGCTGTATAATACCATTGGCTACATTAAGGAACTGCCAATCTCTTTCTCTCCCTCACCTTCTCTCTCTTTCTTCTATTGAATTCAATATAAAACCTTCTGTGTTTGTCATAGAATCTACGTACTAGTTTATGTGGATGTGGATAGATTTCCCGGCGTTGTGCTTCGTTTGGCAGTGTATGGATATCTTTCTGCCAAGAAGTGACAGGCCTTTCAGCAAATTAAATAGGTGGGAAATAGGCAGGACTTTCCAGCCTCAAGTAGCCGTGGTTATGTCGTGTAATCTGACACCAGATTTACCACAGCTCATAAACTAAGATCCACTCGTTGGCTGAAGAGACTGAAATTCAGAAGCAAATAAACATTGATCAAACTATTAAAATACACAGACCTTTAACAGAGGATTATTTAGCAACTATTATGCATTAATTCAGTTTTTCATTGTAATACATGACGACTTGTTTTTAATAAAAAATCAGTAGCACTGTATTTAATGTCTTACTGATGGCTAATGGATTATGTGTTATAAAAGCCAATCTAATGACTTTCTAGGCTATTGCAAGTCAGTGCCTGTCATATGTGTTCCCCCGAATCCCCACTTCCCTAATTAGGATTAAGTGTTAATTAGCCTAATATTACATACAGCCAAAATATGAACTGGCAGCTGTAGGGTAAATCTGTGTCACTAGCTAGGTTTCCATCCAATTGGCAACAGATTTTCATGCGAATGTTCTAAAGTCCACATAAAAACAATATGCATTTTCCCACCAGAGAGATGTTTCCATCAAATTGACTTGTTCCAGATAAAAGGCTGTGTGTGATGACGTAGTGCACATAAAAATACCTTTTGCGGTTAAATTCCCATGTACAAAATAAATTTTAAAAAATGAGTTAAATGGGTTTTGATCGCATTTTCAACTCTACTGATGGTTTTCTTACAAACCAGATGGGCCGATATAACCAGATGGGCCGATATAACCAGATGCGTTATATAGTGTGCCCACTCTGGTCTTGGTACGTGTGCTGTAGCCAACAGCTTGCAGATGCATTGTGGGTATAGCCTATAGATATATACAGGGAGGGAAAAAAGGATTTGATCCCCTGCGGATTTTTGCCCACTGACGAAGACATGATCAGTCTATAATTTCAATGGTAGGTTTATTTGAACAGTGAGAGACAGAATAACAACAAAGAAATCCAGAAAAACGCATGTCAAACATTTTATAAATTGATTTGCATTTTAATGAGGGAAATAATTATTTGACCCCTCTGCAAAACATGACTTAGTACTTGGTGGCAAAACCCTTTGTTGGCAATCACAGAGGTCAGACGTTTCTTGTAGTTGGCCACCAGGTTTGCACACATCTCAGGAGGGATTTTGTTCCACTCCTCTTTGCAGATCTTCTCCAATTCATTAAGGTTTCGAGGCTGACGTTTGGCAACTCGAACCTTCAGTTCCCTCCACAGATTTTCTATGGGATTAAGGTCTGGAGACTGGCTAGGCCACTCCAGGACCTTAATGTGCTTCTTCTTGAGCCACTGCTTTGTTGCCTTAGCCGTGTGTTTTGGGTCATTGTCATGGAATACCCATCCACGACCCATTGTCAATGCCCTGGCTGAGGGAAGGAGGTTCTCACCCAAGATTTGACGGTACATGGCCCCGTCCATCGTCCCTTTGATACGGTGAAGTTGTCCTGTCCCCTTAGCAGAAAAACACCCCCAAAGCATAATGTTTCCACCTCCATGTTTGACGGTGGGGATAGTGTTCTTGGGGTCATAGGCAGCATTCCTCCTCTTCCAAACACGGCAAGTTGAGTTGATGCCAAAGAGCTCGAATTTGGTCTCATCTGACCACAACACTTTCTCCCAGTTCTCCTCTGAATCATTCAAATGTTCATTGGCAAACTTCAGACGGGCCTGTATATGTGCTTTCTTGAACAGGGGGACCTTGCGGGCGCTGCAGGATTTCAGTCCTTCACGGCGTAGTGTGTTACCAATTGTTTTCTTGGTGACTATGGTCCCAGCTGCCTTGAGATCATTGACAAGATCCTCCCGTGTAGTTCTGGGCTGATTCCTCACCGTTCTCATGATCATTGCAACTCCACGAGGTGAGATCTTGCATGGAGCCCCAGGCCGAGGGAGATTGACAGTTATTTTGTGTTTCTTCCATTTGCGAATAATCGCACCAACTGTTGTCACCTTCTCACCAAGCTGCTTGGCGATGGTCTTGTAGCCCATTCTAGCCTTGTGTAGGTCTACAATCTTGTCCCTGACATCCTTGGAGGGAGAGCTCTTTGGTCTTGGCCATGGTGGAGAGTTTGGAATCTGATTGATTGATTGCTTCTGTGGACAGGTGTCTTTTATACAGGTAACAAACTGAGATTAGGAGCACTCCCTTTAAGAGTGTGCTCCTAATCTCAGCTTGTTACCTGTATAAAAGACACCTGGGAGCCAGAAATCTTTCTGATTGAGAGGAGGTCAAATACTTATTTCCCTCATTAAAATGCAAATCAATTTATAACATTTTTGACATGCGTTTTTCTTTATTTTGTTGTTGTTATTCTGTCTCTCACTGTTCAAATAAACCTACCATTAAAAATCAGCAGGGGATCAAATACTTTTTTCCCTCACTGTACATGATTCGATTATTATGGACAAAATATCATTTTTATTTGTTAAACGGCAACCAATCATCGATGATCATGTCACCAGAATAAGACCCTCGATATTTATTGGAAAGGAGCATCAAGCTCATCACCTTGCACTTTCACCACCCTGTGAAGTTCATCATTACTTATTTCATCTGTAGCCTAATAAACTGCATGCTTTCCCGACAAGTCGTAATGGGAGGACCACACAACATCGCGTGACTCCAAGTTTACTTCGATATGATGGTTATTGTATCAATATTTGCGCATAAAAGCATTTCACCGACATTTCTCGCATAATACATTTTACAGACACAAAAAGATCCCACACTGTCTAGCATATTTTGTTTTGTCGACATTTGTGAAGTTTACAGACACATGTTCTGTTTCCATCAGGCCTGGCGTTAAAAGAAAATTCCAACATGTACTTTCCTCACATAGAAAGGTTGGATGGAAACCTGGTTAGTGTGTGTGTCTTTTTCAGTTTTCTCCCTACACTGTCTTCTGTAGCAGAAGCTGATTTGTCGGTGCTAAGCCTAACATCATTTCTCCGCACAGACACAGTCACAGCACTCGAACCAGCAGAATCAGAACTTTTAGAAAATACGTCTGTTCATTTCACACATTTATCAGCGTCTGCCTCAAGAGCCTTTTTTTTTGTCGCTCTAACTTTTTCGGCACCACCTTTCCGTTTCGACCAGCCCACCCCCAAAAAAAGATGGTTCGGCCCATCTGGCATTTGCCAGAATTGTCAGATGGCCAATCCGCCCATGCCTCCAATTTTGTTACCCACTGTGAGTTAGTTTGTAAGGTCAAAAACTCAAAACACAAAATTATGTATGGCTGTCTAGTTTTTAATTAATTGTGAAATAAATTAAATCAATCAAAAGGTACTGTTAGTTACTCTTAATTATGAAAGCACAAGTTAACGTTTGATTTACAATGTCTCTTTGCTATTTCTTCTTCTATTTTTATTCATAATTTTTAATTAGCTTGATTCCAAAGCAAAAAATAATTTGAGACTTCGACAGGGGGCGGTATATGTTTCAGACCCCAAAATTAAGTATTATCAAATTTACTCAAGGGGCGAATGGCAGCTTTGAGGGGCGAATGGCAGCTTTGAGGGGCGAATGGCAGCTTTGAGGGGCGAATGGCAGCTTTGAGGGGCGAATGGCAGCTTTGATCTCCTCTCTAACATTAAGTGCGTAGCGACAGACTTTAAAATACAAATCTAAAGAATCGTAAAAAATAAATCTGCCCTCTTTTATGTATGCTTTACAACCTCTCCATTTCCCTCATCCTCCTTCTGCCATGTGGCTTTGGTTAAAAGCATGAGCCTCCATTTGAAATTCAACCGTGGTTGAACGTTTCCTCCGCTTGCTTGCTTTCATGAAAAATATCACAGGCTTTAATAATGGAACCACCACAAGCACATAATTTACTCTGGTGACTGTGGAGTAAAGAGGACTGTGTACAGGAATACTCCTATATATGGTCTTTTTCAGCCTAATTAGGAATTGCTATCAGGACCACACGTGTGTTTTGACGTCTACTCTGTAAACCGATGAACTGTTGTGAACTTTGACCCCTGACAAACCCTTTAGGCTACATCTTTTGATGTTATTTGATGGCCTCTGATGCATTCAGTATCATTCCTTGTAACATTAACACCAATGTATGCCTGATTTTAAACTGTGAATAGAGTCCATATAAACTTTATGACACAGTTATAAAAACATGTATAAAATCACGCCTACAGTCAAATTAAATCTTCGATTAAACCTTCCTCCCTCAAAATCTGGACAGGCCCAAGCAAATTCACAGTAAGCTTCCAACGTTTTGTTTTAACCATCTTCAGACCAGTGCAGATTAAGGAGAGGAGACTAGGAGAGAAAGCCACCTCATGCTTAGATACAGTACCAAGCCCTTTCCTGAGTCTTGTGACAGTGTGAAGGTCAACTTCCGCATAGAACAGGAAATAGAGCCCCTGTCAGTCAGTCTCAGTATTCATACAAGTTCCAGTTCAACCCCACGTGTGCAAGGCGCAAGAACTACAGATACAATATCTAACATTGACTCTATGACTGGAGAGTAACCCAGGAGATCATTAGACTACAAAAGGTAAGCGCTATGGTAGTTTTTGACAGGATCCTGTTTATCTTTTAAATGTATGTCCTTTGATACTTTGATGACTTTGCTTCCTTAATACGTCTGTAAACAGATGCTTTACTTGTAGCGTCATCGTCTGTTATGTTATCCCACGGTCTAGAATTACACTCTTTCAAGGTTTAAGGTTTGAGGTTTTAATGCTTCTTCATGGTACTGTCAAAGATAATGATGTTGTCGCTCTTAATGCGATGTTGAATTTGCTCATATTTGTATTATTTTCATGTCATGCTGAAATTGTGATGTGCTACTACAGTACATTACTATCACAAATACAGCCCATTGGTCAGTTTAGGGTTAAATACTTGAACATACACATCAGCGTTGGTTAAAGAGGCAATCTGGGATTGGTACATCCCTTTTGGACTTATAATTAACGATAGACTTTGAATCCCAGATTGCCCATTTAAAGCGAACACATGTCTTCCTACAGCAGCAGCAGCCAGTAATTGCTTATGTATTCAATTATAAAACAGAGGGAGCATTTGACCACAAGAACGTTCAACATATGTAGCCTACAGTCATTATCAAAAAGCACTGTATCTCTCTCTCTCTGCACAATAAATCATTGTTGATGATAAGGCGTTGGCCTTTCTGTCTGTCTGTTTGTCTGTCTGTCTGTTGTTTAGTGTGTCACTTAATGTGTCAATGCAGAAGTAACATACCCACATACCACAGTGGCAGCTGAAAGCAGCCTCTTTGCTAGCTCATTGAGTTCGGTCTTAGTGCCAGTATTGGTTTGTAGTGGTAAATAGACAGCTACGAAAAATTATGTGGAACGTCTATGTCTGTGTGGGTGGCTGGGTGGGTGGCTGGGTGGCTGGGCTGGCTGGCTGGCTGGCTGGCTGGGTGGGTGGATGTATGGGCCTTTGTCAAAGGTGAACATAGTTTTTTTGAGAAGTAGCTAAACGTGTAGTCTTGCGCACTAGACACTTCGTCCCTAAGCTGTGTTCAATTGCCTGGGGTCGGGGATACAAAATGGGAGACCATGGGTAGAACAGGATGGATTGAGTTGAGTGGCATGAGAGGAGCATGTTGTCTCCAAGCCCCCGATATGTCACAATGCCAAGTTTGTTATTTCCACCCCCATTAAAAACCCAGAGGTCCTGTCAGGCAAAATATAGCAGAATCAGGATCCAGAAAAAAACCACTTTGTTTACATAAAGCATTTTTTACTTTCATATGGAAACAATACCTACCCCATTCACCCACCCCTTTCCCTGTTCCTCATTACAACTTAATGGATGGTCTGTTTACTAGTCTGGCAAAACAGAATAGAGTTTAACTATACAGGCGTTAGCTATGCTGGCTGGACAAGAACCCAGAGAGTGAAAGAAAGTTACTGTATATTTACTTAAGTTCTAATCTGGACCATAAAGTAACGAACAGAACTTGGTTCAAATGTATTCCTTACTCCATACTATGGAACCTCAATATGTCCCTACATATGGTATACTTATGTTATTTTGATGTTCATACGAGTTATGGTTGTAGAAGGCCTCTCAATGTTGGCGAGACGGTGCTCCTATCTAAACAACATCCTTGGAGAGATGATCTATTTGGCCAGAGCTGCCTGCTACACATGTACTGGTGCATTTTTTACCTAACGTTGGCATTAAACACTCCCCATTCTCCATATGGACTAACTCAGTAGCTAAGCTGAACAGGCCTCTCTCAAAGAGCATCAGACTTTGCTTATGGGATCATTTATTGTGCAGCATAGCCCTCTGTCTTAAAGGCCCAGTGCAGTCAACAATGGGATTTTCCTGTGTTTTATATATATACACTGAGTATACAAAACATTAAGGACACCTGCTCTTTCCATGACATAGACTGACCAGATGAATCCAGGTGAAATCTATAATCCCTTATTGATGTCACTTGTTAAATCCACTTCAATCAGTGTAGATGAAGGGTAGGAGACCGGGTAGCCATTTCCTACAGTCAAATTACCTAGTGGCCTCATGTGTGCAATGTTATTAATATTTTTCATAATTTCATATTTAATAAAATAAAATAAAAAAGCTGCCGAAAATCCGGTGTTTCTATGTCAAACAGTTTTGTTATATTTCAGTCTTATGTGATGTACACTACCGGTCAAAAGTTTAAGAACACCTACTCATTCAAGGGTTTTTCTTTATTTTTACTATGTTCTACATTGTAGAATAATAGTGAAGACATCAAAACTATGAAATAACACATATGGAATCATGTAGTAACCAAAAAAGTGTTAAACAAATCAAAATATATTTTATATTATTTGAGATTCTTCAAATAGCCACCCTTTGCCTTGATGACAGCTTTGCACACTCTTGGCATTCTCTCAACCAGCTTTGAGGCAAGCAACACTGAACCATGTGTGAGAGCACCAGCTGATCCGGACGACTGTATGATCACATGCTCCGTAGCCGATGTGAGTAAGACCTTTAAACAGGTTAACATTCACAGACAGATTACCAGGACATGTACTGTGTAAGTGTCTTCACTCCCTGACCCAGTCTGTAATACCTACATGTTTCAAGCAGACCACAATAGTCCCTGTGCCCAAGAATGCCAAGGTAACCTTTCTAAATGACTACCGCCGCGTAGGACTCACATCTGTAGCCGTGAAATGCTTTGAAAGTCATGGCTCACATCAACACCATCCCAGAAACCCTGGACCCACTCCAATTCGCATACTGCCCCAACAAATCCACAGATGACGCAATCTATTTTGCACTCCACACTGCCCTTTCCCACCTGGACAAGAGGAACACCTACGTGAGAATGCTGTTCATTGACTACAGCTCAGCGTTCAACACCATAGTGCCCTCCAAGGTCATCACTAAGCTAAGGAGCCTGGGACTGAACACCTCCCTCTGCAACTGGATCCTGGACTTCCTGACGGGCCGCCCCAGGTAGCAAGGGTAGGTAACAACACATCCGCCATGCTGACCTTCAACACGGGGGCCCCTCAGGGGTGTGTGCTCAGTCCCCTCCGGTACTCCCTGTTCACCCATGACTGTGTGGCCGGGCACGACTCCAACACCATCATTAAGTTGCCGACGACACAACAGTGTTAGGCCTGATCACTGACGACGATGAGACAGCCTATAGGGAGGAGGTCAGAGACCTGGCAATGTGGTGCCAGGACAACAACCTCTCCCTCAACATGGGCAAGGCAAAGGAGTTTATCGTGGACTACAGGAAACGGAGGGCCGAACACGCCCCCATTCACATCGACAGGGCTGTAGTGGAGAGGGTCGTGAGCTTCAAGTTCCTCGGTGTCCACATCACTAAGGACCTATCATGGTCCAAACACACCAACACAGTCGTGAAGAGGCCACAACAATGCCTTGTCCCCCTCAGGAGGCTGAAAAGATTTGGCATGGGCCCTTAGATCGTCAAAAGGTTATACAGCTGCACCATTGAGAGCATCTTGACTGGCTGCATCATCACTTGGTATGGCATCTGCTTTGCATCCGACCGCAATGCGCTACAGAGGGTAGTGCGTACGGCCCAGTACATCACTGGGGCCGAACTTCCTGCCATCCAGGACCTCTATACCAGGCGGTGTCAGAGGAAGGCCCTTTCACTGACAAACTGAAATGGTCCACCCACACAGACAGTGTGGTGAAGAAGACGCAACAGAGCCTCTTCAACCTCAGGAGGCTGAAGAAATTTGGCTTGGCACCTAAAACCCTCACAAACTTTTACAGATGCACAATTGAGAGCATCCTGTCGGGCTGTGTCACCGCCTGGCAAGGAAACTGCACCGCCCGCAACTGCAGGGCTCTCCAGAGGGTGGTGCGGTCTGTCCAATTCATTACCAGGGGCAAACTACCCGCCCTCCAGGACACCTACAGCACCCGATGTCACAGGAAGGCCAAAAAGATCATCAAGGACATCAACCACCCGAGCCACTGCCAGTTCACCCCGCTATCATCCAGAAGGCGAGGTCAGTAGACTGAAAGACAGCTTCTATCTCAAGGCCATCAGACTGTTAAACAGCCATCACTAGCACATTAGAGGCTGCTGCATATAGACGTAGACTAGAAATCACTGGCCACTTTAAGAAATGGAACACTAGCCACTTTAATAATGTTTACATATCTTGCATTCCTCATCTCATATGGATATACTGCATTCTATACTATTCTACTGTATCTTAGTCCATGCCGCTCTGTTATTGCTCTTCCATATATGTATATATTCTTATTTCCATTGCTTATTTAGATTTGTGTGTATTGGGTATATGTTGTGAAATTGTTAGATATTACTTGTTAGATTATTACTGCACTGTCGGAGCTAGAAGCACAAGCATTTCGCTACACCCGCTATAACATCTGCTAAACACGTGTATGTGACAAATACAATTTGATTTGATTTGATTAGAAAATTGTCAAAGACTCCAGCCACCCAAGTCATAGACTGTTCTCTCTGCTACCGCACGGCAAGCGGTACTGGAGCCCCAAGTCTGGGACCAAAAGGCTTCTGAACAGCTTCTACCCCCCAAGGCATTAATCAGACTGCTGAACAGCTTCTACCCCCCAAGGCATTAATCAGACTGCTGAACAGCTTCTACCCCCCAAGGCATTAATCAGACTGCTGAACAGCTTCTACCCCCCAAGGCATTAATCAGACTGCTGAACAGCTTCTACCCCCCAAGGCATTAATCAGACTGCTGAACAGCTTCTACCCCCCAAGGCATTAATCAGACTGCTGAACAGCTTCTACCCCCCAAGGCATTAATCAGACTGCTGAACAGCTTCTACCCCCCAAGGCATTAATCAGACTGCTGAACAGTTAATCAAATGGCTACTATTTATAAATGGCCCAGACTAATTACATTGACTCCCTTTATTATTTATTTTTGTATCTTAATTTCTTTGCAATGACTCTCTTGCTCTATGCACATGCACTAGACTCTACCCACACACTCACACATGCTACACTGACACTCCAACACACTCACACATACTACACTGACACTCCAACACACTCACACACACTACACTGACACTCCAACACACACACACACACACACACACACACACACACACTCACACACATGAATATTGACGCCACACACACACTCACACATCGACACACTTTCACACTCTTCACATACACTGCTGCTACTCTGTTTATTATCTATCCTGATTGCCTAGTCACTTTTACCCCTATCTACATGTACATGCTGTATTAACTCAATTATCTCAACTACCTCGTACCCCTGCACATTGCCTCGGTACTGGTACCCCTTGTATATAGCCTCGTTATTGTTATTTTATTGTGTTACGATTTCTTTTTTTATTTAGCAAATATTTGTCTTACTTTTTAACTCTGCATTGTTGGTTAAGGGCTCGTAAGTAAGCATTTCACGGTAAAGTCTACACCTGTTGTATTCGGCGCATGTGACCAATAAAATGTGATTTGATTTGAATAATACTGTGAAATTGTGAAAATTATGATAATTCCCTTTTAGTGTAAGAGCTTTTTGAAAAGACAGCCTAAAATGTCAGCCTGTTTTGCTGGGATGGAGTTTTGGCTTGCCTGGTGACATCACCAGGCGGTAAATTAGTTAATAGACCAATAAGAAAGAGAGTTCCAAACCAATAACAGATAGTTTTCAGTTTCCCCCTCCCCACTCAGACCACTCCCAGACAGTCCTAGCAAAATTCTTGCTTGAGAAATTGCTCTTTCCTAAGACGCTAGCTTTGTTTCTTTTTGACCATTTTAATTGAAAACAATCACAGTAAAGGTTCTTAATTGTTACACAGAAATGATTGGATATTGAGATATTGTCTGGAAGCCTCTAATTAAAATGTGTCCAAGCAACATTGTAGCACTTTGAGCCGTCACATTGTAGAGTCACTGTGGTACTATGGGCAGGACATTTAAAACATGCTAACTGGGGACCATTGACTTACATTGTTTTTTCAGTTAGCAAAGTGCTAATATTAGCAGTTGGTGGCAGCAAAAGCCAAGGATAGGATTACAGCCTTTCTTTGTCCATAGACTGCATTCAAGGTTAGGAAACACATATCATTTAATTATGATTTTACGAGTTGAAGTGGCTTTGGGTGAGTAGGCCTATTCTCTATCTGTCACAATAATTTACATTTTAGTCATTTAGCAGACACTCTTATCTAGAGCGACTTACAGTTAGTGAGTGCTGGCCCCCCCCCGTGGGAAACAAACCCACAGCCCTGGTGTTGCAAGCGCCATGCTCTACCAACTGAGCTATTATGGTCCTTGGTGTTAATGTCAACCGCAATGATGTCATGTTTATGTATGTAGGGCTCACAGGAGGTTGGAGGAACCTTAATTGGGGAGGATGGGCTCATGGTAATGTCTGGAGCAGAATAGGTGGAATGGTATCAAATACATAGACACATGGTTTCCGTGTGTTCGATGCCATTCCATTCACGCCGTTCCAGCCATTATAATGAGCCATCCTCCCCTCAGCAGCCTACACTGGTAGGGCTCATTGATGGCCTTCTTGTCTAAACGACGGCTGCTTGTTCTCTGTAACAGATGGATGATATAGACGCCATGTTCACTGACCTGCTGGGAGAGATGGACCTCCTAACACAGGTAAGTTCTCACTGGGACCACTCTTACCCATAAACTACACTTCCCATGATTCATCAGAACAGAGAAGTGTTCTACCAGAAATGGACAAACCAGATGTAGGTCAGCAGCTGTGTTAAATTATTTTATTGTTGAGACTCAGCCGTGTAGTGGTGTAACCCAGGGACTACAGCTAGAAATGTGCCTTTTGGCTAATTCTGGCACATTTAGAGGAGATGGTGATTATTGTACACTGTCCCTGTCAAATAAATTGAATAAAGTGAAAGTGAATAATGAGAAATGAAGTAACATCATCTGGTTTGAGTAATGGACGCAAGCCACTCATTTTAAGGTCATAGTGGCGAGGCGTCCTCATGCACTTTGGCCCTCCATTACACTATTATGTATCTGGCTTGCCAGACGAAACATTTGACACAAATAGAAGTCTGGCTCAGGCCTATGTGCATTGAACTCCTCTTAAAGGGACATTTCAGTATTTTACAACTTAACGTTAGATGGTTCCTCACCTTGTAAGTAGTCTATGGGCCAGGAGAAACTGTAATCCATGGCTTGGTTTTCTTTAAACAGCCATTACAAACTTCAGCTAACTTAAGCCACCGCTAGCTAAACATCAATGAAAGTGATAGGGGCAACAAAGGAATCAAAATAAAAATCATGACCGAATTAACTCAACATCGGGTTTGACGCTGCCATATCACTTCCATTGATTTTTAACTGCTAGCGGTGGATAAAGTTAGCTGAAGTTTGTAGTGGCTGTTTAAAACATGGATTACGGTTTCTCATGGCCCATAGACTACTTTCAGGGTGAGGGACCATCTAACGTCAAGTCGTAAATTATGGATCTTCCCCTTTAATGATTGTAGCTCTAAGTTCAGGAGTGGTCCTAAATGTTGTTACATTAAAAATCGAACGCTGCGGAATGGGTCAATAGTCATCCTATTGGAGAGCCACAAATATTATGTCACTGTCTACAGAGTCTTATCCAAATTAGGAAGAAAAACTGTTTTATTTGAATAATCATTCTTCCTGAATTTTAAGAGGATCAAATATAATTAAAATTACGGCCATGATTGGATTTATACATCATTTGGGTTACTGCCTGGGAGCATTCAGGCTAATCAGACCTCAGAATCCATCCAGGATTTTTCTACCCCATGTACTCAAAGGTCTAAAAGTTTCATTGAGCATGGCTTTGAACGTGAAAACATATGTTTCTCTCTACGTTCATCAGGTTTCAGTTGTGTGGCAGGGGAGATCATATGCAGGTCGGCAGGTCGCCCGGTTCTATAGACTGTTTAAGAGACAGTATATGATTACTGGAGTTGCCTGCTGGGGATGTTTATGAAAACATTGCATTGCAGCTTTAATAATCCGTTTCCGTATGAAATCACATCATTGCCTTAGTGCAGAAGTTTTGCTTTCTTCTTTTTAATTTTTTTATTTGACATAAAAAGTATAAGGTCTGAATTCTGACTGTGTTCCACACACCTTATAAGCGTGGCTTCCCAGGACGTCCGTGAAGAAAATAAAAAACAGAATGTTTTTCTGGAGGGTTCTCTTTGAATTAACTTACAAATGCTGCAAACATTGTTGGAGTGTTCTCTACACTCTTAGAAACAAAGGTGCTATTTAAAACTTCGCCATAGGAGAACCCTTTGAAGAACCCTTTTTTGTTCCAGGTAGAACCCTTTTGAGTTCCACGTAGAACCCTTTCCACAGAGGGTTCTACCTGGAACCAAAAAGGGTTCAACCTGGAACCAAAAAGGGTTCAACCTGGAACCAAAAAAGGTTATCCTATGAGGATAGCCGAAGAACCCTTTTGGAACCCTATTTTCTAATAGTGTATATAAAACATACAGTTCCTATCTGTTCATGTCCTAAAATATCTGTATGCAAACTTCATCTGAAACCTTTTTCTTGACAGAGTTTTGGGTATGAAAAGGATCCCTCAGAAACGTCATCCAGCAGCTCGCAGAGAGAAAGCAACTTCTCTATTGGGTTCGCAGATTTGAACGGTGAGAAACACATGCAACACTAGGTCAGCAAACAGTGGAAATGTTATCTTTAGAGTTGATGCATATGACATACTGTAAATGTATTTCAAGCCCTGCTTGCCGATAGCAACCTTACTAAGCACATTTGACTAGTACAGGAGTTAGACTGGTAAAAGTATTCATAAGAAGGGAAGTAGTTGTGTTATCACGCTTACCCGCATCCCTATTTGATCAGATAAACCCTGCCCCCTAATTTCCATATTCCTCTCTGGTAGAATCTCTAAATGAGCTAGAGGATCATGACCTGGATGCTCTGATGGCTGATCTGGGGTCAGATTTGGCGGAGACAGAGGAGACACTGAATGCAGCCAAGACGGGACATGTCCACACACAGCAGTCTGACTACTCCACCCCACAACAAAATGTCCCCTTGTCCCAAATGTCATCGCTGGCATCCTCCTCCTCATCCTCTCTCCCACCTGAACCCTCCAAACCACAGCTAGCGGTAACTTCCAATAGATATACTGTATCCTGTGACTGACTGGGGTTTGGACCCTGGTTTCCTGCACGCCACAAGACTGTGTTAGCCCTCTGAGCTAAAGCCTAGGCGTTAGCCAGGGGAGCTAATGTAAGTCTTCAGGTCTCAGGCAAGAACACATAACTATTTATGTTATAAATGCAGGGGTACACAACAGCAGGCCCTTGAGTTCTGCAGTTATTTCGATTTCTGTATATCAAGGCATCTTAACCTTTTTGTTTTTGTAGCTATTTACTTCCAATATACAGTAAACGGTAGCACTTCTTCACACTCTTGCTCTTTTAATTAAAAATGATACCTTCATTTTTCCAGGGAGAAGCTGAAGCACAAGCCAAAGCTGACAAAATCAAGCTGGCTCTGAAGAAGCTAAAAGAAGCCAAAGTTAAGAAGGTATATTGGGTTACTTTCACTAAACCAGCTATAACAGCCTCACTTTGTGAGGAGTTGAGCTACCCCTATATCATGTATAGCACTGTGGGTTGGAGGAAAACGCTATATACACTCCCCTCCGTATGTATTTGGACAGTGATGCTAAAATTGTAAATAACAACTCTATACTCCACCATTTTGGATTTGAGATCAAATGTTTCATATGAGGCAACAATCCAGAATGTAACCTTTCATTTCACGTCCTATTGGGCAAAACATCATCCCGAAACACAATCAAAACAAGCGGTAAATGCATCCAACAAGTTTGTAAAGTCACAAGGTTGATGTAGTCATTGTGTGCCAGGGATATGGGGCCAAATACTAAACTTTCGACTTCTTTACACTATAAGTGAAATCTGTCCAAATACTTATGACGTCTTAAAATGGGGGGGGGGGGGGGGGGGGGGGGGGGACGACTAGGTACTTAAAGTGCTTTCATTTCTAAACGGTAAACACTCGAATTAAAGGTGACATTCTGTTCTATGAAACATTTGATCTGAAATCCAAAATGCCGGAGAATAGAGCCACATTTAAAATGTTAGCTTCAATGTCCAAATACATCCGTAGGGGAGTGTAGATACACATCACTCTAGTAATCATTGTGAGCTGATCTTCCCATAGAAATATAATTACTAGAATGGCTATCCCCATTCAAGTCAATGTTCTGTGAATGGGTGGGCCGGTGGCCATATTGAGTGTCCCCAATGAGCACTTTATATTTCTACGGTTGTTCCTATGTACAACCTTCTAGTTGGTGATCAAGGTGATGATGAGCGATGGCAGCTCCAAGACACTGATGGTGGACGAGAGACAGACGGTCAGGGACGTGCTGGATAATCTGTTCGAGAAGACCCACTGCGACTGCAGCGTGGACTGGAGCCTGTGTGAGACCAACCCTGAGCTGCAGACTGGTGAGGACTCACATACACCAGACCTGGGTTCAAATTGTATTTGTTTCTGTCGAATACTTTTGAGCATTTGATTGAGCCTGGCTGAAGTGCCAGTTGGGTCGGGTTTGCACTTTTTTGGACTCTTCCATTTGGTTCCATTGCACCAAGCAAGCTCAATCAAGTGCAGTCAAAGTATTTGAGGTATGATTTTAGATATGATATTGTATGATGAATGTACATCATTTTCATAAAGCAATGAAGCTCCTATTTTTTTCTCAAAACAGAAAGGGGATTTGAAGACCATGAATATCTAGTGGAGCCTCTTTCTGCATGGACACGAGACAGTGAAAACCAAATCCTTTTCCTTCTGAGACCTAACAAATATCTCTTCTTCAAAGACCCCCAGGTGAGTACAGTAGAGACCTGGGAAGTATTGATTCGGCACCAAACGGAATAACATTAACTGAAACAGGGAGAAACTACCTGGACCTCACCAATAAGAAATGTTCATTTTTGTTTTCTGTTGCAAAATGTTTTAAAACGTTTACTGTTGCATGCCCCTTATGAACATGGCCCAGAGTTCACACAAAACAGTGAACTGTGCTTTCTAATTTAACAGTGAATTGAGCTCATGGCGTGTTGCATTGTTGCTACATCTGTCTCTATTTTTTGCCAACTTTTTAGCAAAACAAAAGAGTTGGTTATAGTAGACAAACTGGCAACCAAGCACTGTGTTTTAGCTATATTACTGAGATCCCTGTGCTGACATTGTCTTTGCACCTCCAAGATATTCTACCTATGGAAAAAAGACAAACAATTTCTGAATGAGATAAAAGAAAGCCATAAGGGACTTCTGCTAAAGGTGAGTTATCATCACAAACACACCTATAGTGGACTCTGTAGCCTATACGGTAAACACATTCACTGTACCAATATATTGTTGAAGGAGTTCTCCTTCCTCTATAGAAAATCAGGTTTATACAAACCCTCGAACACTTCCACACACCTTATTTTAAACGTCTGAATCCAGGAAAACTTTGAGGGGCCTTCTGTCATCGTCCCAGACCTGGAGGGGCTGCTGTTTCTGAAGGAGGACGGGAAGAAATCGTGGAAACGTCGCTACTTCCTGCTCAGGGCTTCTGGGATATACTATGTGCCTAAAGGAAAGACAAAGGTAAAGGAAGTGACGTAATGACCATCAAATCGATTTCACAGCAAGTCCAATAAACATCTTGTCCAAACATAGAAAGTATTTTTGATATACAGCATACAGGCCATTTATGAACTTTTACAGAGACTTACACGTGTTGTTTCTACATAGAACTGTGGTAAACCAGTAATAAACAATTAGTGTGGAAGTCCACATTCCACACATTCATTCATGTTGGGACATTTCCCACTAAAACACTACTGTAGGAAATCCTTACTAACTTACTGCATCTCCAGTAATATGACCCATATGAACTGAATTTGACTTAAGTCTACATATCCAGGTTTTCTCGTGTTTTTCTCCCTTGGCAGACATCCAGGGACCTGGCGTGCTTCACTCAGTTTGACAAAGTCAACATCTACACCACCACTGATTACAAACAGAAATACAAAGCACCCACAGACTTCTGCTTCATCCTCAAGGTAGGCCATCCATGTTGGAGGAAAGAATAGCATGATGGTTATCCATCTGTCTTTTACTCTTCTCCCATCAACCCCCCGAGGTAACACACACACACACAGGCTGAAAGAAGCACAGGGTCAGTCATATTGTAATGGTCCTGGAGCAATTTTGGGGGTTAACTGCTCTGTAAAGCACTTATAGAACCCAGATGGAGAGGTTCATGGTCAAATCAAATCAAATGTTATTTGTCACATGCTTCATAAACAACAGTGAAATGCTTCCTTACGGGCCTTCCCAACAATGCAGAGAGAAAAATAATTATAATATAAAGATAATAACAGGAGGAATAAATACACAATGAGTAACGATAACTTGGTTATATACCACGGGTGGGTCTAATCCTGAATGCTGATTGGTTAAAACCGCATTCCAGCCGGTGTCTATTCCACAAGTTACCACCGGCTAAATCTATGACGTTGAAATGCCTATTTACTCTGTTCCATCTCACTGCGCAATCAACTGTCTCGTCAACCCTGCCAGGAAATGTATAAACTTAATGTCCACTATAAAATTCATCTAGACATTATCTCCCATTTCTTTTACACTAGCGTTTGGTTTTCAACAGCAGACATTTGTATAAACCTTGCTGTTTGTCTCTCCGACTTTTTCAATATTGTTTCAATATTGAATTGCGATCTCCACCGTCCCATATAAAATGAATGTGTCCGAACGAGACAGACAGCAAATTGAGCTGGTTGTCATAGCAACACACAAACCTTTTTCTCAGTTGACTGGCTAAATCGATACTTTGTTGCGAAAACTAAAATGGATGAGTGGAACATTTATTTTGATCTTTTCGACGGCATGAGTATGGATGAATGGGAAAAAGAGATGGCTATAATAGAGAACGCCCTTGCATTTTATCTCCACCCAAGGAGAGGAGAGTGTATCTGGGACTCGATCTGGGACACGTCAGAGCCGATGGACGTGAACTATCTTGGCAGCACTTCTACCGAAGATCAGCAGGGCAGCGGGAACAACGACATACACAAATCACAGGACCACGACGGTCCAGAAACTGGCCCATGCTGCTTTAGAAGCAGTGAGTGGGCATCGGTGAGAAGGTTCGCTCCATAGCTACTGGCGTCCGTCACTGACAGACAGAAAAAGATGGAGCAACATCCTGTCAGAAAACAAAGAGAACACTGCAGCACCATCAACACCCAAAAGGCTGAAGCAATGCAGCAGAAGTAGTAGAACAGGCTCCGACAGATATTTCAACCAATGCACCATCCAGGGGAATGTACAGATAAATGTGACATACAATAAGTAGCTATAGCTTTTTCAGCTGTGGTGGGATAACAAAGAGAATGTATGGTTTCATTTATTAAAATCAGCTCAAATGAATGTCATGGATTGTCTTTCTTTTGTCTGAACAGTGTCCTGACAAGCGAGCACATTTTCTCTGCCAGGCAAAGACGCGCATCATAAGCTCATTGTTATGGATGTGTCCGAATAATTCTAACTAGAAAACCGCTTAAACAAATGCAAATGCAGCTACTTTGCTGTTATTCTGGCTGCACTTTTTGACGTGACTGTAAATTAGCCGTAGTTGGCTAGATACCAAGCAAGGGAGAAGAACGTAGCCAGCCAGTATGGCAATGGAACATTTAGAACGAACGACTGGGTCGCATCTATAGATACAGAACAAAAAGACTGAACGACTGGGTCGAGTCTCTAGCAACAAAACTGAACGACGGGTCGGTCTCTAGCAACCCTAGATTTGTGTCGGGACTATATCTTGTGTAAGGATGAAATAGTACGAATAAATTAATAAAAATAACATTTTTACTGAAAATATGTCAATCATTATTTGAATATGTTGGTAACCCGTTGTATAAAAGTGATAATGCCCTCGAAGCCGGTGTTTGTTGGATATATTGGCACGGTTTGTCGGCCCTCGACTTCGTATCCGGCCTAATAACGCCCGTGCCAATATATCCAACAACCTGCTTCTCGGGCATTATCACTTGAATATACACGGGGTACAAGTACCGAGTCCATGTGCAGGGGTACGAGGTAATTGAGGTAGATATGTACATATAGGTAGAGATAAAATGACTAGGCAACAGGATAGATAATAAACAGTAACAGCAGCATATATGATGAGTCAAAAGAGTTAGTGCAAAAAGGGTCAATGCAGATAGTCTGGGTAGCTATTGGTTAACTATTTAACTAACTATTTAGCAGTCTAATGGCTTGGGGGGTAGAAGCTTTTCAGTGTCCTGTTGGTTCCAGACTTGTGCATCGGTACCACTTGCCATGAGGTAGCAGAGAGAGCAGTTTATGACTTGGGTGGCTGGTGTTTTTGACAATTTTTAGGGCCTTCCTTTGACACTGCCTGGTATAGAGGTCCTGGATGGCAGGAAGCTTGGCCCCAGTGATGTACTGGGCCGTACGCACTACCCTCTGTAGCGCCTTGCGGTCGGATGCCAAGCAGTTGAGAGAGCGAGAGAGAGAGAGAGAGAGAGAGAGAGAGAGAGAGAGAGAGAGAGAGAGAGAGACACACACAGAGAGAGAGAGAGAGACACAGAGAGAGACACAGAGAGAGACACAGAGAGAGAGACACAGAGAGAGACACAGAGAGAGACACAGAGAGACAGAGATTCCTTAGTGATGTGGACACAGAGGAACGAACTTGAAGCTCTCTACCTCCTCCACTAAGCCCCATCAATGTGGATGGGGGCGTGCTCAGTCGTGCATGGTTTAGACCAACTGGGTTGAAAGATGCACTACATTATGGGTATCTGGTCGCTGTTTTAAAGTTTGGGTGTCCATTTTGTGCCATTTAGTGTATTGAAGCTCAAATCGATTTGTTGAAAACTATTTGAAACCCTTCTCCAGCCCAAAAAAATTAATTTGCAACAATACAAATGCTAAGTTTTGAGGGCCAGCAAGGCAAAACATATTTGAATATTTGCATGTTTAAATATAAACCTAATTAACAGGAAGTTGTGCACTATTGCAACTACTATAACACATTTCCACGGCACCACCACACACAGACAGACATCTGCTGTGTATGTTGCCATAGTGATCTCTGAACGACCATACAAAACTATCTGTTATGAGGAACGAAAGAGAGACAGAGCGAAAGAGAAAGACATAAAGACAGAGACAGAGACAGAGATAGACAGACAGGTAGAAAGGCAGACCGACCAACAGACAGGAAGACAGACCAACAGACAGACAGGCAGACCAGCAGACAGACAGACAGAAAGACAGGCAGACCAACAGACAGACAGGCAGACCAGCATACAGACAGAAAGACAGGCAGACCAACAGACAGACAGGCAGACCAACAGACAGACAGAAAGACAGGCAGACCAACAGACAGACAGGCAGACCAGCATACAGACAGGCAGACCAGCAGACAG